AAAATTCTTATGATACAGGTCTTTCACTTTTTTGGTTAGTGTTATCCCAGGGTATTTTATGTTATTTATGGCAATTGTAAGGGCTGTGGTTTCTCTGATTTCTTTCTCAGCGCATTTATCATCTATATATAGTAGGGCTACTGGTTTTATTTTAGTTAATCTTGTATCCTGCCACTTTGCTGAAGGTGTTTATCAGCTATAGGAGTTCCCTGGTTGTGTTTTTCAGGTCACTCATGTAGACTATCATATCATCTGCAAATAGTGAAAGTTTGACATCTTCCTTTCCAATTTGTATCCCCTTGATCTCCTTTTGTTGTCTTATTGCTCTAGCTAGAACTTCAAGGACAATATTGAAGAGGTATGGAGAGAGTGGACAGACTTGTCTTGTTCTTGATTTTAGGGGAATCATATTGAGTTTCTCTCCATTTAGTTTGATGTTGGCTGTTGGTTTACTGTATATTGTCTTTATTACATTTAGGTATGTTCCTGTTCTCTCCAAGACCTTTATCATGAAGGGATGTTGGATTTTGTCAAAGGCTTTCCCAGCATCTAGTGAGATGACCATGTGGTTTTTCTTTCTCAGTCTGTTTATACGGTAGATTACATTGATGGATTTTCATATGTTGAACCATCCTTGCATCCCTGGGATGAAGCCTACTTGATCATGGTGGATGATTTTTCTCATGTGTTCTTGGATTCGATTTTCCAGTATTTAATTGAGAATCTTTGCATCAATGTTCATGAGGGATATTGGTCTGTAGTTCTCTTTCTTAATTGTGTCTTTGTGTGGGTTGGGTACCAAGGTTATTGAAGTTTTGTAAAAAGAGTTCGGCAATAATCTTTATACTTCTATTGTGTGGAACACTTTGAGGAGAAGTGGTATTAGCTGTTCCTTGAATATCTGGTAGAATTCTGCACTGAAGCCTTCTGACCCTGGGCTTTTTGTTGGTGGTGGTGGTGGGAGACTTTTAATGACTACTTTTGCACCATTCCTGGGTTGAGGAAGAAACAAAAAAAGAAATTAAGGATTTCCTAGAATTTAACAAGAATGAGGGCACAACATACCCAAACTTATGGGACACTTTGAAAGCAATGCTAAGAGGAAAGTTCATAGCACTAAGTGCCCACATGAGGAAACTGGAGAATAGTCATACCAGAGAATTGACAGAACAACTGAAAACTCTAGAACACAAAGAAGCCAACACACCCTGGAGGAGAAGATGCCAGGAAATAATCAAACTGAGGGCAAAAATCAATAAAGTTGAAACAAAGAAAACAATTCAAAGAATTAATGTAACAAAGAGTTGGTTCTTCGAGAAAATCAACAAGATAGACAAACCTTTATCCAAACTTACCAAACAACAGAGAGTGAATATTCAAATTAATAAAATCAGAAATGAAAAGGGGGGCTAACAACAGACATTGAGGAAATCCAGAGAATCATCATGTCATACTTTGAAAACCTGTATTCCTCAAAATTTGAAAATCTAAAGGAAATGGACAATTTTCTAGATAGATTAAATCAAGAACAGATAAGCAATTTAAATAGACCTATAACCCCTAATGAAATAGAAGTAGTCATCAAAAGAAAGTTCTTATAAAGTGGACAATGCTTGAAGAACACCCCTCAAGATTCTCTCTGGCCTCCACATGCACGCAGGTGTGTGTGCACACACATACCAACATGCACACACAAACGTATCATAGGAATGAAAGAAAACCAGAAACAGAGTTTGGGCCCATTGATGCTGAGAGAGAGCAATGGAGCTTCTGACAGAGTGGTCCTCCTGATGAAGCCTCCATGCAGAGAGGGCTGAAGCCAAGGGAGACCCCACTCAAGTACTGGGATAACAATTTCCTGCAATTTCATGATTTAGGGACTTGTAATGTAGCACTCCATACCATAGCTCTTCTGAGAGTTGATGGTGTATGCCTTGAAGACAACCTGGAAACCTGGAAAAACCAAGATAAACGGTCTGTTAGCATAAAGGATCTGGATGGTTTAAATTCTCGATATATCACGCCTACATGAAAGGTCTTCTCTGTAAACAGAGGAGTGAGACCACACTGCCTTACACCAAGGTCTCTCAGCTTGTTTTAAAGGGGGCACTATTTTCCACTGGGCATGTGGTTTCCTCACGGACTGACCCACACACACACACACACACACACACACACACACACACACAGACACACTGGCTATGTGTGTGAATAGCAGGAAGCTCTTTGGCAGGTACATAATTAGTAAAGCCCGGCTCCTTTTTCTAACCCATTGGAAAGCCTAATGCTACAGACCAGCTGCTACTACCCCAGCATCATCTGAAGGCCTCTGTCTCACTGAGCTGACTGTAAACTTCCATTTGCTCTATGACTCCCTACCCAGCACCCAACAGTCTATTAGTTTTGAGTCTACTCTGAATAAACAAATTTGTTCACCATTGGGTCTGGTTTTTAAAAAGCAACTGGCAAATGTGTATCATTTTACATCAGTTATGTGACATATGTGCTTCAAATCTATTCCTATTGACTTCCAAATCTTAGGCAAAACACTTACAGACTTGAGCATGTTCCCATAAAGGCTGAGAGTCACAGAGGCTGAAGGAGGTCTAGCAGTCAGAACAGCTATTTTGTGCTGTGGTGACACCACTATGTTAGTCTGCTTTTCAAATGTATCATGAAATCCCTGAGGCAACTTAGGAAGAAGTCCATTCTTTTGGACTCAGAGTTCTAAAGATTTCCATCCATGGTCAATTGGATCCATTACTCTGAGTCTGTAGGAGACAGAACATCATGAAAGAGCAAAACCTCACAGCCAGGAAGAGGGGAAGCAGGAGAGGGTGGAGAGGGAGCACTCTCACACTGATGCAGGATGAGTCCTCCTGAGGACTTGGGCAGCCCTGTCTGGGCAGGTCCCTAGGTTCCTGGTTATGCCCACATGGCCTCTCTCAGGCAAGTTTTATTTTAAAAATTTATTTTATTTGTAATTATGTTCATTATGTCCAGACAGAGATGAGCACATATTAATGAGGGACCAGAGAAGGTGTCAGATTCTCTTGAGCTAGAGTCATTGTGAGCCACCTGACATGGGTACTGGAAACTGAATTCCCCATCCTCTGCAAGAGCATTATGTACCTCTAACCTCAAAGCCATCTCTGAAGCCCTCAGGCAGTTTTTGAATGCTGTCTAATCTTCCCTCTGGTCTCCGAATGGAAGTGTGGGTTCGTATCCCACTTCTGACACCAGTTAAAGTGGAACTCAATGGAGTCAGAATTAGATTGATCACAGATAGTTTATTAAGAAAGTACTCACGGACATCGTCGCTGCTCAGAGTCATCTGACACAAGCACCTGCGCACCTGACCGATTTCGGAGGCAGCAATTCTGAACACGGAACACCCAGAGGCAGCCCAGCCTCCATCCGCCGGCCCAGGTTGGCCAGGAACTGTTTCCAGTTCTGGTTCATCATTGTCACTGCTCAGAGTCATCTGAGACAAGCAACCTGCGTGCAAGACGGAGTTCAGCAGCGGGATCCTACACCCCAAGGCCTAGTTACAGCTCTGACTCCAACAGCCGACCTGGCGGGACCCGGCACACCAGAACACTGCCAACACCCAGGTAACAGTGACAACTCCATCCACGAGAAGAGGACCAACATTGGCTCTGAGTGTATTTACCAGAAGGGAACCTTGGTCCCACACCCACCAGGAGAACAAGAAACTCTTGCTACACCCACCAGAAGAAAGGATGAGAAGAGGACAAGGTAAAAGCACATCCAACAACAGAAAACCCAATATGACACCACCAGAGACTAGTAACCATACACCAGTAAGACCTGTACATCATGATGCAGATGAACCAGAAGAAAATGACCTTAAAAACATCTTCATGAAAATGATAGAGGACCTCAAAGAGGACATGAGAAAATCCCTTAAAGAAATTGAAGATAAAACAAACCAAAAATTAAAAGATATCAACAAATCTCTCGAGGAAACAGTTCAAGACCTAAAAACTGAAATACAGACAATAAAGAAAGCACAACCTGAGGAAATGCTGGAAATAGAAAAGCTGGGTGAATGATCAGGAACTACAGATGTAAGCATAACCAACAGAATACAAGAGATGGAAGAGAGAATCTCAGGAGTTAAAGACACACTAGCGGAAATAGACTAATCAACCAAAGCAAATCTCAAATCCAACAAATCCCTAACACAAAATATGCAGGAAATATGGGATACTGTGAAAAGACCAAACCTAAGAATAATAGG